ATATCGAGATCGAAAGAAGCTAACCTTTTCATTTTCAAAAAAGAAGAAGAGAGCACTAATTGCTCGGCCAAGCGAATCCTTCCATCTTGTGATATACGAGAGTCGGCTACGACAGCAAGAAGAGATCTACGGTTTATACGAGATATAGCCGCGATTGTTGTCCAACGTTGGACAAATAATTGGAAGACGATATTGCGAAGAATCCCCCTAAATCAAAGTGAGCCGGTCGAATCCGACGTGTTCCAGTTCCGTCCAAGTTAAAACTCGAGCACGCGTTACGTAAAAGGGAACCGGATATCGGCTCTGCGGTCCGTACATAAATGGCAATATTATTGCGGATCACTGCGGAAAAATATGAGCCCCTCCCCCCCTCTTCGCCGATCGATACAGCCGGCCGTCGTCGTCTCGTATATCGAAATCGTAGACGGTTGCTCGCGGTCTCTCCGAGTATCGATATCCCCTCGCTTTTTCCTTTCCCGTCCAAAAATCCGCCCGATTTTCATCGAAAATTTCATCTCGACTCAAAGCATCCACGATTTCTGGCTAGCTCTCTCTTTCAAATTTCGACCGGAGTCGACGGGGGAGTGTCCACACCAGAGAACAACTTTGTCGGTACAAAGTTTGCGCCGCCTCGATTGTTGTACACCGTTGGTAAAGGGTCCCAATTAATCGACACTTTGCTGCCCACAAACGCCACAAACGCTTTCTGCTCTCGAACAGTGATTTCCAACCGAGCGTGGCTCGGATTCACCGGCTCTGTGTTTGTGAATCAATTCGATTAAACGGTGATTATATATCCTCGCTCGCTTACTTTCTTCTTTTTTCAATCGAATGATTGAAACGAACGTTTTCTTCGTTTGTGTTTGCCTCTACTACTCGAAATTGTTCAAACTTGAAATTACTCGTTCGATTGGTAATTTAATTACGTAATTTCGAATACACGTCGTATTCGTATCGTAATTTTGGACGAAGAACGGATACAGGATGATCGGGTTTGCATGCCGGTCCCGTTCCATTCGCCTAAACGTTCGTAAACTAATAATGCACGCGAGCAACGACGCGCAACAACAACTCGTGACACCGCGATTCTACGTGATCGTACTTAACATCGTTCGTCACGGTTTCCTGATTGCGCCGCACGAAACGATACGAAGAATTAACTCGAATTCCATCGGTGCCGCCACGTCGAATCTCGTTCCTTTTTTCCCTTCTTTTTTCTCTTACCTCGAAGTTGCGTCTTACCGAATACCTTATGCATTATTTATCAAGTGTCTCTCTCTCGTTGCGCGCGTTAAGTGTTAAGTTTCCTCTTCGACGTTCTCCCGCGCTCGTGTCCTCGTGACACGCTACACTGTTATTGAAAGCGGAAAAATACACGTCCTCGAGGACTCGCTTCCTCGGCCGACTCGTTAATCATTCGACGAGATAAATAGCACGGCCCTCCCTCCTACGAATAATACGTATTATTTGCGCGATTATTCGTTGGATTTCGAATATCCGAAATAATTGCCAATAGCCTGCGGTTGTTACAAAGGGATCGCCGCTGTCATTTTTAATCAACGCTCGTTCATTTTGGTATTAATAAATCCCGGATTTTCGCGAAAATTCACGGATATTAATTCGCGCGTTCAGCACGTGGATTTTGCTTGAATGACGTAAATATACAAGTGTTTATCCGTCGAAACCGATCGATTGAAATCTTATTAAAAGTTAAAAAGAAAAAACAAATCGCTGTAATCGAAAGATAGATGATTCTCGATTTAACGTTAACACGAGAAAAGCGAAATCTTTAAAATGCTTCTTCCGGTTCTTTCTGAAATTGTGCACTTTTAATTAAATTTGAACCGTTTTTGGTTCGCGAAAAAGCAATTTGATTCCTTTTTCATTTATCTCGATACCGTTGTCGCGTAAAGAAAATGTATCAGGATCATTTATATTTATTCTGTCATTTTCGTTTACTCTCGTTCCCATTAATGATTTCGGGATGGAAAAGCATAGTGCGCGTTTCCAATTAAAAAATATAGGTGAAATTTTGAGTTCTTACGTTTCGATTGAAACATTGGAACAAATAAAAAAAAAGTAGCTTCAATGGCACCGTTTTCCTCTGTATTCCCTGAATAGAGTTTAATGGCGAAATTTTTCTCGTGTTTTTCACATAAAAAATTCAAAGCTTCGTGAATGCAATGCTTTAATAATTATCATTATATTTAGTAAAAAAAAAGTTAGAAGTTTTTTTTCTTTTTTTAAATTTTCCTCACTCAGAGAGGAAAGTATTTGAACAATTCGTTTTCCAACGATCGGTAAACAAGCAAGCGATTCATGACCGAATTTTTTATTCACTTTCGCCCGTCGGCCATCGAACCGTTCCAGGATCTCATTTTCAGATAGCGAAACTTTCCGTTCTCGTATTGGATCGCTTAACGAAGCCTGGAACGGCTCGCCCCCCCCGAATCCTTCACCCCTTTGGAAAACTTTCCAATCGCTTAGGGTCCCATCGCCATTTCATGCCGTTAAAACGCCTAATCGAATCCATTCGTCTTCCGCCCTGATCGATTTCGCTTTCTATTTCCGTTTCAGAAAGTTCACTGGAAATCTTCAATTTCTGTTATGAATACAACGGGTGCAACAGATTTTCGGAAAACTATTTTTCAAATTCTCGACGAAGACAGCGATTGCTTAGATCGATGTTTCGGGATATTCATCGTTTTTAGATAATCGAGAATTGTTCCTCCCCCAGAATCAAGCACCGGGACGAGTCGTTAGCCTATGTACAGGCTACGTAATTAGGCCCCAGCTAGTGGCTTCGAAATTCATTACTGGCTCGAATCTTACACCGTCCCTGAATCCCTTGGAGGCTTGTAAAGGAACAACCCCTGCCGGTTTTCGGCTTTAGCCCAAACTCGAACACATCCCTCCTTAAACGGGGAGGGAACCAAGACCATCCCGTTTCTCAAACTTGCCAACTATATACTCCCCCCCAAATTGCACGGATACACGTTTCCCTTACTTTCTCTAAACCGATTCCGTAGTAAATATTCTCGCTGCACTTCTTCGAAATTCGAATCTTGGTTAAACGCGAGAGTTGGTTATTAATTATTCGAAGGAATGATCGTTTTCTATTTTCTCTTTCCCCCTCGACTTTTCGAATCGAATCAGCTTCCTGTCCGCGCGTTTCCACGAATGCGGATTCCGTTACGCGGCAAACTCGTTACGCGAAGTATACAATTTAAACTCTCGGTACGGGAACAATCCGCGCGAAACTTTACGCAATGAGATCGAGTCGTGTGTTATTGAAACGCGCGAACAACAAACCGTTGATCGCCAATTCGTCTTCGTATCGCTCGAAAAATTGGAAAAAATTGGACGAATTCTGGCGAATCTCACCTGCAATAAACGAATCTTCTTTATCTTTCCACAGTTGACAAAGCTCTCTCAACGTTCGAATCTATTCAACGATCGAGGAATACGCGACTCGAATCCCGCGTTCCTTCCTTATTTTCCCCGAATTTAACCCTTTCGCTTTACTCCCGCTTTTGCCACGCCAAAGATGTGAAAGCGGCCACGTTTACGCAATTCAAGTTGCTTTGACAGTTTATCGAAGAAAAAAATTGACGATAAAAACGAAATATCGATACTCATCGTACAATATATCTTATAGGTAGAGCGTAGTAGCGAAAGGGTTAATCCACGGGGCTGGAAAGCGTCAAGGTTCTCGTTGTAACGAAACGCCGTTGCCAGGGAGCGAGCAATACAAGAGTTGGAACTCGATTCCGGCGGGGCGAAACACTATTTCGAGGGAAACGGCGACGGAACGGATCTCTTCGGGTCACGCGGGGTCGGGGAGGAGAAAAACGAATCGAACCGTTTCGCTTCGTTCCCCTTTCCCTCTCTTTCTTTCTCTCTCCACCACCCCGACAAACCGTTTCATCGAGTTATGCGGCCCCGGCTCACAATCGGAGTAAAACGTTCTGTCATGCGGCACTCGATAAGCTCGCGAGCGAGCGCGCTATTTACGCTCCGCCTTTGTCGCCGTTTCAACGACACGCTTTTACCTCTCTCTGGTTTGTTTAATCGGCCGATACCGATCGGAGCCAGCCTTCCAATGGGTGTAAGCGTTTTTTTTCTTCTCTCTCTCGTCTCGTTTGAAATTGATTCTTTCGGTTCGATCGTTCGCTTCCTCCGAACTTCTTTCCAAACGGTAGGTTTTCGTAGGTTTAATTTAAGAAGATCGCGGTTTAAAAAGTGGGAATTACTTTGCAAAGTTTCCTCCCCTCCTCTCAATTATCCGAAAAGTTATAAGGATATGGGAGAGGAGGGGTTACGAGTTTTGCTCGATAAGAGTTTCAGAATTTGGATTAACGTGGAGGAAACGATTTCGCCCGTGTTCAGATGGAAACACGCACTTGTGACAGCAATTAAAACAATTTCCCTCGAATTAATCCGTAGTTGCGTGCGCGAAATCATTAATTTTCTCGGCCGGACATTAACGAGATCGTATTTTCTTTTTCTTTTTCCTTCTTCTTCTTTTCTCGCGTTTCGAACGAGCCACTTTTTCCTTTCTCTTCTCGCGATTCTTTCCGCGCTATTATCGCCATTATCGCGATTCCTTTTCTCGATATTGCTGATAACGGATTAAAAGTAAAATGATGTTGGAGCAGAAACCTGTTCCGTCCGTCCAAGTCTGGAAGGAGGAAACCTAAGGAGGATAGAGACGTGAGAAACCTTACTGGGGTATTTAATCCCTGTTGAAACTGCTTCGCGAGATCGTCGGTGTTATCGGATACTGATAGCTCTTATTATACCTTGATTCAATTTAAAATTACCCTACAACATTATCCTCGCGCCGCCGCTTCAACATTTTATTCAACGGAATTCCGAGTATCGTTAAATTTTCTATACACAGAACAAATCGAGCGAATTTTCCTGAATAAAATTTAGTTCACGTTTCGATCCGCCATCCTCTCGTCCCGTTCATCCGACAACAAGACCAAGACTCTTACCTTGCCGTCCAACTTTCCATTCCCCTCCTCTTCTCCCTTCCTCTCCTTTCCACCATCCTGCTTCCTCCTTCTGTCCCTCTCTCTGACCAGGCCGTTCAGACTTTTGTAAGACAAGAGGCGACACATGTCGGTGGTCAGGTCGGGCAGACGATTCTTGCAATCGCCGCATTGCAACCTCTGCTGCGGCATCTCGCAAGGCGGGCCCCCGCCCACGTCGCCCCGGAAAACCGGAACTTCCCGCTCCCTCCCCCACTGCGCATCGTCATCCTCGTGGCTGGCCCGCGCTCGAAACACCTTCGAGCGCCGGCCACTCGCGTTTCCACGCAGATTACACGCGGATCTCGTTCCCCTTTCAATCTTCCGATCGAAAATCCCAATACAATATGCACGTATATACACGTATCTTTTCCTCTCGATATATTTTCCAACGATAATCGCTCGAACGAAACTTGGACGTCACTCGATAATCGAACGCGAACTGGAACGAAACTTGGATATCGGTCAATAACGGTAAAATTATCGCATCGCGGAAATTCGGTTGCTCGAAAGGGTATGTTGTTGGTATCCTGCTGCAAGAGAAGGGAGAGGGAATGATTGGACAAAGTTTGACACGTGACGAGCATCACCAGGGTGAGGAAAGTCCCGTGCGTATATAGGCTTTTAAAGGATGTAAGACGAGTTTTTCGAGAGAGAGAGAGAGAGAGAGAGAGAGAGAGTAAGTTTATT